AGAGATGCTCCCCCCCCCCCCCCCCCCCCCCCCCGCCCCGCCCGCCTGCCCCTCGGCCATAAACGGCCTTATCGGCTGGCCTCTGCACCCTGGCACTCACTAATGGAGGAGAGAGCGCATATAAAAGGAACAGCAAGGAGTGCAGCTCTCCTCCGCCACTCTTCGCCGTCTCCACGCCGACCCACAGGACTCCGCACCCCCACCATCACACAAACATGCCTGCAGATTACAACGGAAAATGGGAGATGGTTCGCAACGAGAACTTCGAGGACTACATGAAGGCTCTGGGTGAGAGATGTCTCCGGTTACTGATCTACAGGAAAAGGAGAGAAAGTGGAGAGTAGAGCACTCTGTCACCGCTTTGCTTAGTTCTGTCATCGCTGCACGACTTTCAGCACACAGATCCATCCCACTCATTACTGCTGTCCCGGGATAATTACGGATTTAGCCTCCTCTGCAGTTTTACCCCTCTGTGAAACATTAGGTCTGGCTCACATCACGCTAATGCAAAGCCAGCCGTTTGGCAGCTTCGCCCTCGACGCCGATTACAGTCTGAGGCCTTTCATTATTCGGCTGTTTATCTGCAATTCATATTGTCTCTTCCCTGCAGCTGCACCTTAAAGTTTCATTTTGGTACCTCGATTCCCTGGGGGAGACTGTAAATTACACCAATATGGAGGTGGAACAAAACATAATTTGAAAGGCTAAATAAAGAGGTTATGAAAATGTAAAATGTGAATTGAATTTTTATTTCTGGGAAATGTGGCATGAATATCACCGCACTTTTGAGTTGATTGTTATTGTGTCATGAAAATATTCATCCTCCAAAACAACTTGAAAACCCGGACACCAAAGCAGTCCTGTAAGATCACAAGAAATAATTAGAGTGTGGCAAGGCTGTGATCTGCATTATTTGTGGTGATGAACTGAGGTGCTTCTTCCCGCATTTTTCCTGCAGACATCGACTTTGCCACCCGAAAGATTGCCCAACACCTGACTCAAACCAAGGTGTTTGTTCAGGATGGCGATAAGTTTGAGACCAAGACTCTGAGCACCTTCCGCAACTACGAGCTGAACTACACAGTGGGGGTGGAGTTTGAGGAGCACACCAAGGGCTTGGACAACAGGGTGGTCAAGGTGGGACATCCGCCCACCCCCCCAAAGCCTCCAGCTGGAATCATTTCCCAGTTCTCACTCTGCTGGACGTTCTTAAGCTTTCTTTACCCTGTTCTCTAGAGATCCCTGTTTTCTCTATCCAGCCTTTATGCAGTAATGCCTTAAGCAATCAGTTACTGAGCCACAGGCTCTGCTCACTGCTGGGAACACTGGGAGTGGGCCAAGACACACCTTCAACTCTCCATCCATCGGGGGAAAAAGCTTGACTCTCCTCAAGCAATGCCCGTGGTAACTATGCTGCTGTGTTTCTTTCAGACCCTGGTGACCTGGGATGGAGACAAGCTGGTTTGTACTCAGAAGGGCGAGAAGGCCAGCCGGGGATGGAAACACTGGATAGAGGGGGACCTGCTGCACTTAGTGGGTGTTCTACCGGGGACATAGACCTTATTTAGAAATTAAAGGCAATGCGTTAAGGAATGGGGTCTCTCCCTCTGCTGGAGAGAGTTGGAACTGCAGACAGTTTTGTGTAACTTCTCTCCTGTAGTTTCAGTTACACTGAATTAATTGCCTTCTTTTACATTTCAGGAGCTAACATGCGAAGACAAAGTTTGTCATCAGGTGTTCAAGAAAAAATAAAGCGTGTAATTATTATACTTATTTTATTGTTATGTTTACACGTTCATCTATTCATTCATTCACCTTCCAACCGCTGAGGAGGATCACAAGAGGCAGCCCGGAGTCCATCCCAGGCAGCACAGGGCGTGAGGCTGGGATACACCCTGGACGGAATGTTTACATGTATGTAAAGTGATTAAATGGCATTTTATATTAAAAAATGACATGTTGTATGGTGTGAGCGTGATATTCATTGTGTGTGAGGGTATGGGTAAGACTTGCTGCAGGCAAAACGAACCACGGGGCACAGGGATGAAAAAGTGGAATAGGGAGGCGAGTGGAAATAGGTACAGAAAACAATGGAGAGGAATGAAAAGACATATAGGGGAAGTAAAATGAGTACTGGATCAGGGACAGGCTGGGACATCGAAGTGTGGGAGTGGGTGCCAAAAGGAGAGGGCGGTAATAAGAATGACCCGTAATGAGATACAAGTAAACGTGTCACATGACTTTATCCCACACACACACACACACACACACACACACAGGTCAATGTTATTAATAGACTTTTGCAAACCTGATTATGGGAGGGATTATAATGAACGTCACTAGCTAAGCATGAAACTGAGTGATGTCGGTAGACAGCGATTGTTAACGCAGAAGTTTGCTAAAAGAAAAGAGGTGGGAATAGAAACGTGCCGCGTCACACTGGGAAAGCACGAGGAATGTGAGGCTGTCCCCGTAGGGGGCGGATCCTCTTCCCCTCGGCTGTGAGGGTGACTGTGAGTTTGAGGGAGTGCTGTATTCACATTTAATCATATCTATCAAATATATATCCATCCATCTATCTTAGTCTTTTATACTGACCAGGGTCGTGGAGGGGGCCGGAACGTAAGGCCCAGCATATAACACAGGGCTGCCAACTCATACATCTGGCGTGACACTCACGCTTTCAGACTCTCATTCTGATATAATAAGTCTTACGATAAATCTGCATTATTCCATTATAAATCTAAAATTAACCACATGAAAAGAGGACTACAGTATAATAAAACTGTTACATAGATGTAATTAAATATTTGTGCATGCGTGTACAGGCTTGTCACGAATTGAAAATCTCACGCCAGCCAGCTGACCTAAGCTGACAACCCTTATAACAGTAAAAATTAAAATCTTTATGACTTAATAAACGATTGGGTTATTGATACGGAAATGCACTACAATAATTCACCGGTGATGCAAATGAAAGAATGATTACCACAGAGACCTTGCTTAATTACATTTTCCAGAGGAAGAATCACACCGAAGCTTAAATAAAGGAAAGTGCAATTGCATAGTTCGGAGTCCTTGAAGAAACTAATGATCTGTTAGTATGAATTGCTTTAGTCAGCTCTAGCACTTTAAAAAAAATCTTCTATGAATCACTTCGAATGTCGAACCAAAAATTCCGTACATGTACTGTGGTGAAAGCAACATGTTTTAATCAACTTTCTATCAATCCTTTATGCCCATGTAATAAATATTATGATTTGGTTTTCGTAGTCGTGATACTCTACGCGGAAGAGTACGGTACAAAGTCGTTGATTGCTTTTTGACGCAACACGTTCAGTGTGACATCTCTTCGGGTTATTACGGTAACCAGAAATCTCGCCAGAACTCGTACCCCAACCGTAAATCTCGCGATAAACAGGAAGCTCCACGTCTACCGTAGCGACGCAGGCTTACCAGCGGACTGAGAGACTGAGGGACCCGGATACAGTGAAGTCGACGGCCGGTGCCTGAAACCATGGTAAGTCGGTGTAAATGTGTGTTTTATGCGACGTGGGCTTGTGGACCTGCTGCCGGGTCGCTTTAATTGTGAAGTTTGTGGTGTTCGGTCAGGGCGACCGTGACACAGAGCCGGGCAGCTTGTTATTCCGCCCAGGCCCCGCGGTCCTTCCGTGCATCGCCAGCGTTTTGACTTATGATCTATACGTACATTATATCTGTATGTAATAAGTTATATGTATGTCTGTTGCTTTTTATACTGTTTTCAAAACTATGGCCGTTAACTATTAGTGAACGTGATGTTATTTTCAGGCTCCGTTTGGTGTATTTGCCTTACAGCTGCGTGGCATAGCTAAATACAAAATAGAAAAATTAAAGTACAATTACATGAAGGTAATGTTTCAGATCTAACTTTGCCTGTTTTTCCTCCGTATGTAACATCTGCTCCTACCGAAAAAGACCCGTTACTTACTTTGTGACATGTTTGAATATTTCTCCGGTATTATGTAGTTATATAGTTGTTCAATTGTATAATGTGTAAAATCCATATATACAGTATTGTGCAAAAGTCTGTCAAAGAAATTTATCTTTACATTATCTTTATATTGGTGTAAAACTATGCTATTATGCCTGTTAGCTGAGCCATTACAAAACCTCTGCTAAAGTCACCCCATTATTTGTAGCAACCATGCAATACATCAGGGGTGGGGAACCTGTCCCATGCAGGGCCGGTGTGGGTGCGGGTTTTTGGGATGACCTCTCAATCAGCCAGTATTAAGAGTGGTTCTCATTTCCTGGGGACCCGCTGTTATTGGCTGATTGAAAGGTCATCCCAAAAACCGGCCCCCACACCGGCCCTCCATGGGAAAGGTTCCTCAGCTCCGCAATACATCCATGATTTTTTTTTTTTTGACTCAATCACTAACACACCTCCTATATCTAATCAATATGTCATCCACTTTTTTTTAACTAATTAAATTAAGTGAGCTGGTGGTGAAATGTAATGCATGCATGGAAAGGCTGGGGTGCCCTGAGGAGAGGTTTGGAAACTGAAGCGGTCGGTGTCCATCTAGCCATCCAACTAGATATCAGTGACAGAAGAAATTTTTACTAGTTTTAATTGTGTTACTTCTAATGTTCTAATGTTAATTTGTGCTGAGCAAATGTGCACTTAATACCCAAATAAACAGCTTTAACCATTTTTTTTGACTGCTTAAGATTTTTGCATAATACTGTACGTGAATGCCATGTTGTCATCTGTATTTGATTTATTTGTAATAACCTTTCTCCTGTCTGATACCTGTTCATACCTATGTTACTGGTGGGGAGTGCCCTCAGAATCCAGAACCAGACCCCTGTTTAATGCAAGCAGAGTGCCAGGTACCTGTTAAGAACGGGTATGGAGAGGGTCACTCTCATCTCCTGTCACTGCCCCCCTTCAGCCTCTCAGACTAGACATCAAGCGGAAGCTGACCGCCCGCTCGGACCGCGTGAAGAGCGTGGACCTCCACCCCACGGAGCCATGGATGCTGGCCAGCCTGTACAACGGCAGCGTCTGCGTCTGGAACCATGAGACGCAGGTAAGGGCCCCCGCTGCTGGTCACTAGTGACTCCCTGGGAGGGGCATCTGACCTGGAGCTGCCATTATTTAATCACTTCTCTCTCCAATCCCTAGACCCTTGTGAAGACCTTCGAGGTGTGCGACTTGCCGGTCAGGGCCGCCAAGTTCGTCGCGAGGAAGAACTGGGTCATCACGGGGGCGGTGAGTGCCGCTGAGGTGCTGTCTGGGTACCTGGTGCAGCTGGGGCCCCTGCTCATTCCCCACCCCGCACTCTCTCACCCCCTGCAGGACGACATGCAGATCCGTGTGTTCAACTACAACACCCTGGAGCGCGTGCACATGTTCGAGGCACACTCGGACTACATCCGCTGCATCGCTGTGCATCCCACGCAGCCCTTCATCCTGACCAGCAGCGGTGCGGACAGCCGGCGCTCTCCTGCTCGCATCACATGCATATTCCAGTTTTCGCTAATCTAAGCAGCTTGTGCATCTTATATAAGAAAGGTATTCTGCCAGTAAGAGGGTCTGTGTGTGTGTCTCTGTGTCTGGATACAGACGACATGCTCATCAAGCTGTGGGACTGGGATAAGAAGTGGTGCTGCAGTCAGGTGTTCGAGGGCCACACCCACTACGTGATGCAGATCGTCATCAACCCCAAGGACAACAACCAGTTTGCCAGCGCCTCTCTCGACAGGACCATCAAGGTAAGATGCCTGGGGGGCTGGCGAGGTGGGGGGACGCATTGCGCACGGCAGACTCCCTTTTGGCGTGTTTCTAGAGATCGGCCCCCACATTAGAGAGCTCGCCTCTATATCCAAAACACGCAAAGGAGCATCTCGAAGGACAGGAACACGCGCATCATTGTAAATAAGTGTGTAGCTGTGCATTAGATGTGGAGTCAGGCCACCTGGGGGGCTTCCTGCAGTTCTGACCCTTGAGTACGTTTCAGGTCTGGCAGCTTGGCTCCTCCTCCCCCAACTTCACCCTGGAGGGGCATGAGAAGGGGGTGAACTGCATCGACTACTACAGCGGGGGAGACAAGCCTTACCTCATCTCCGGGGCCGACGATCGGCTCGTCAAGATCTGGGACTACCAGGTATCAGCGTGCTGCCACTAGGGGGTGCTGTGCTCATAGTTATTTTATCCACGGTGTGCTTTGCCCCGAGACACTGACAGGCCCTCTCTCCAATCAGAATAAGACGTGTGTCCAGACTCTGGAGGGACACGCCCAGAACGTGTCCTGCGTGAGCTTCCACCCCGAGCTGCCCATCATCATCACGGGCTCTGAGGATGGTGGGTGTCACCCCGGGACCGCCGGCCGTGTCCCACCCATGTTTATCTGCTCTTGTGACCAGTTCCCCTCCCCCTGTCCTGCCCCCCCTCACAGGCACAGTGCGCATCTGGCACTCAAGCACCTATAGGCTGGAGAGCACGCTTAACTATGGCATGGAGCGCGTGTGGTGCGTGTCGGGTCTGCGCGGCTCCAACAGCGTGGCCCTGGGTTATGACGAGGGCAGCATCATCATCAAGGTGCGTCCGTGTCGCGTCGGCCTGCTGCAGACGGGGACCCGCCGCCCATCAGTGTCCAAGCAGCCTGGTCCCTCCTTCTGATTCTGTTTATTCTCAGGATCAGCTGGCTTTCGTTACCTGTGAGACTCCCACCTGAACCCCCCCCCCCCCACCTACTGTCCTCACAGCTCGGGCGAGAGGAGCCCGCCATGTCCATGGACGCCAACGGCAAGATCATCTGGGCCAAGCACTCAGAGGTGCAGCAGGCCAACCTGAAGGCCATGGGCGAGGCGGAGATCAAGGACGGCGAGCGGCTGCCCCTGGCCGTCAAGGACATGGGCAGCTGCGAGATCTACCCCCAGACGATCCAGCACAACCCCAACGGCAGGTGGGGCTGTCAGGCCGCCCCCCCCTCCCACGCAGTCTCGGTCGCTGGCTGTGTCCAGAGTAGCGACAGATTGACCCCATGATCTAAATCAGGGATGGACAACTTTATTCTTCAGTCGGGCCATATAGATTATGAACAGTTACTAGTTGGATTTTTTTTGAACAACTAGCCACTCCAGTATTGGCCCAGCACATGCAAGCAATATAAAATTGCACTGCAGCTATTTTTGTATTTATTTTGTAATGTGATATATTTAGAACTGAATTCTCCAGCGTTCTGTACTTAGTCTGCAGGACATCCTAAATCAGCATGAAATAACGTAAATGCACACAGACCTGAGCATTAACAAGAAAGAAGGAATCAACATATTGTTTGAAAATACCGCCAAAATACCACAGTATTATGTAAAATGCACACAATGGAGAAGGAGCAAGTGCAACATGAACTATACAAAGTACATGAAACATCTAAATTTGGCTTTTAAAACTCGTAATAGAACACGACGCAAAACGGACAGAAGATCTGAAGACAGGCATGGAAATTTATCATTAATTATCAGATGGCAGTCAGTTTTGGACAGAATGCATTATTCATCCTGAATCTTTGTGTCAACCGGACACTCGACTCATCCCTGTAGTTACATTTCTTCTGGTAACCGTCTCCAGCTCCTCCTAGTGGTCAGGCAGCACGATGCGCTAGTATTTATTTCATAGTGTTTCTGTTTTGTTCATTTATGAAACATACATTTAATATTTGCGCCCAGCAGGTGGGCCGGAAAGACCGCCAGTTGCCCATCCCTGATCTAAATCTATGTCTTTTTTGTGTTGTTCATTCTGCTGGAGTAATGGTTTTCATCCTGAGACCCCCCAAGTGAAAATAGACCAGTGCTAACTTCCCACCTCCTCCCCATGTGTGCTCATGAAAATAATATTGCTTTAATTTTTCTTTCTCTGAGGGGTTCCTCTTGAACATGTTTCACTTTCCCCCGAGGTGGGGGGGGGTTCCTGTATAGTGTGTGTCTGTGGAGCCCAGGTTGATAACTCCTCCTCTGGGTTATTTTCTGCTTAGAACGTCTTCTCTGGTTAAGGTTCTAATCTCCTGGCTGTCTGGCCTTTCCGGTGTGAGATGCCTCTGTATTTTGCTGCAGGTTTGTGGTGGTGTGTGGAGATGGAGAGTACATCATCTACACGGCCATGGCACTGAGGAACAAGAGCTTCGGCTCGGCACAGGAGTTTGTGTGGGCCCACGACTCCTCCGAGTAAGGCAGCCTGTCCCCACCGGCTATTCTCCTGTTGCTATTGGCCCCGTTTCTGGCCGTCAGACTGAACGTGTTGGATGTGTTGCAGGTATGCGATCCGGGAGAGCAACAGCGTGGTGAAGATTTTTAAGAACTTCAAGGAGAAGAAGTCCTTCAAGCCAGATTTTGGGGCAGAAGGTAGGTTCTGTAAACGAGTTTGATTTGAGCGGCCGTGTGCATCTCTGCGATGCCGGATCTTCCTCTGAGGAGTTATTTCCTGAAGGTATCTACGGAGGGTTCCTGCTGGGAGTGCGGTCCGTGAACGGCCTGGCATTTTATGACTGGGAGAACACGGAGCTGATTCGCCGAATTGAGATCCAGCCCAAACACGTGAGTCCACCTTCCGTGTCACACGGCCCCCTTGAGGTGAAATTCTGCCCAGCAGGTCATTGGAACGTGACTCGTTTCTGGGCCCCTAGATCTTCTGGTCAGACTCGGGGGAGCTGGTGTGCATCGCCACCGAGGAATCCTTCTTCATCCTCAAGTACCTATCTGAGAAGGTGTCAGCGGCACAGGAGTCTAACGAGGGAGTCACGGAGGATGGCATCGAGGACGCTTTTGAGGTATGTCCGGTTACACGCTAAAGAAACGGTCTAGAAGGCCTCATCTGCTGCTACGGACCGTCACCCTGAAGTCTGTAGGCATCTCACCGCTTCACAAGGGGGTGTCCGGCCTCTGTCTGCGCTCTAGGTCCAAGGGGAGATCCAGGAGATCGTGAAAACCGGCCTGTGGGTGGGCGACTGCTTCATATACACCAGCTCCGTCAACAGACTCAACTACTTTGTGGGCGGGGAGATCGTCACCATCGCTCACCTGGACAGGTAGGCCGGATCCGTAGCGACCTGCACGGCCAGCCGCTCGGTGCCGGTGCTCTGGGCTGACGCTGATGGGCCTCCGCTCTGCCTCAGGACCATGTACCTGCTGGGCTACATCCCCAAGGACGACCGGCTCTACCTGGGCGACAAGGAGCTGAACATCGTGAGCTACTCGCTGCTGGTGTCCGTGCTGGAGTACCAGACGGCCGTCATGCGCCGGGACTTCGGCATGGCCGACAAAGTGCTGCCTACTATCCCCAAGGAGCAGAGGACACGCGTGGCACACTTCCTGGAGAAGCAGGTGGGGCGACCACGGTCACCCCTGACGACATCACGTCATGTGACTAGCCTGGAGGCCACGTCATTTGACCAGTTCTGTCTCCCACTCGCAGGGCTTCAAACAGCAGGCCCTGGCTGTGTCCACGGACCCCGAGCACCGGTTCGAGCTGGCGCTGCAACTGGGGGAGCTGAAGATCGCTTATCAGTTGGCCATGGAGGCAGAGGTGGGTCCCGCACCCCGTGTGCCAAAGCACCGTTTGCGGCACGATGATGTGTTTATACTGATGAATGAATCCCCGGCCCCGCAGTCGGAGCAGAAGTGGAAGCAGCTTGCTGAGCTGGCCATTGGCCGCTGCCAGTTCAGCCTGGCCCAGGAGTGCCTGCACTACGCGCAGGACTATGGCGGCCTGCTGCTGCTGGCCACCGCCTCCGGCAACGCCGCCATGGTGAGCCGGCTGGCCGAACATGCCGAGCGCGATGGCAAGAACAACGTGGCCTTCATGACCTACTTCCTGCAGGGAAAGTACGTACCCCGAGCTGGGCAGTGTGGGGAATAGCAGCAATCTTTGTGGGGGAGGTCTTCGTCATGGGGAATGGGGGATGCATGAGATGTACCAATAGGAATGGCTGTACGGCGGGAGCTGCGGGCCCTGAGCTTCCCCATTGGCTACAAGGAGAGAGATGCGCAGATGCATGCAGACTGTATGGTCTCTGTAGCAGAACGAACTCTCTGCCTTGCTCTTTGAACTCAGTAGCATGGCACTGAAACCTGTTTGTTCTGCCTGATGTTTTTAAATATGGGCTGTTGATGTTACCTTAAGAGATGCTCCCCCCCCCCCCCCGCCATTCTTAAGGTGTCATTTGCCTTGCCCATGTTTAAGGAATGCAAATGTTAACATGGTCTTTAAACGTGTATGCAGTATTTGTGTCTCTGTCATTCTCTCTCTTTCTCTTTCTGTCCTCCGTATGTCTGTCTCTCTCTCTCTCTCTCTGTGGGTATGCGTGTGTGTGTGTGTGTGTGTGTGTGTGTGTGTGCGCACCTTCTTCGCAGCCAATACTGACCCCTGAGTCTCTCTCCCTGATCTCAGGCTCGATCAGTGCTTGGAGCTCCTGATCCGCACCAACCGCTTGCCGGAGGCTGCCTTCCTGGCCCGAACGTACCTGCCCAGCCAAGTGTCCAGGTATCACTCCTGTCCTCCGTGCCAAGGCCCCCCCGGGCTGTGTCTATAAGAGGAACAGTCCCTCCTCCCCCAGTGACCCTCCCCTCTCCTCCTCCCCTCTCCCGCAGGGTGGTGAAGCTGTGGAGGGAGAGTCTCTCCAAGGTGAACCAGAAGGCGGGCGAGGCGCTGGCTGACCCCACAGAGTACGAGAACCTCTTCCCCGGCCTGCGGGAGGCCTTCGTGGCTGAGCAGTACCTGAAGGAGACCTCCAGGAAAATGAGACCGGCCAAAGACTACCCGCTGGTGACGGTGAGCCGCGCAGCCGTGCGTCTCACTGCTGCCCCCTCCTGGGAGAATGGGGCTCCTTCCTCGTACAGCTCTGCTTCAGGGTTTATTTTAAATTGGCAATTAAGGGATTGTGTGTTTTCCTGGGAGATAATGGTGAATGTGAAAAGTAACCGAGCGTGAGTGAACATAAGGGGCAGGTGGGGGTGGGGGGCGGGATGGTTCGTTAGGCTTTGTTGCCAGCCCCCTGGCAAACCCCCCCTCCGCTTTAACTGTTCTTCTGTTTTCTCTCTCTCCCTCTGTCTCACTCAGCCCAATGAGGAGAGGAACGTCCTTGAAGAGGCCAGAGGCTTTGTACCAACAGCGGCTCCTGCCCCAGCTGAGGTAGGGGGGAGAGGGTCTCTCATTGTGCTCCTACCCCAACCCCCGTGGACTACTGTACCCTTTAAATCCCAGGCATCATGTCCGCATCTCGTTAATCCGCTGCGTCCCAACTCTCTTGCATATGGTGTGTGTACAGGAAGCGACAGAGCTCAAAATGGGTGCTCCCGTGACCCCAGATGTCGCCGTAGCAACACGGATGGCTCCACCTACCCAGCTGGCAGAACCTCTGGGCAGCGGAGAAATGAAGGGGAAGGAGCCGCAAGTGGGCCGTCCCACGGTCCAACAGCCGGTTCGCAAAGCCAAGGAGGAAGAGGAGGTAAGCAGCAGTGTCTCAGTTGGGGGTGTGGCTCCCCAGGTACCCCTGTGATATAACGTGTTGTCCTGTGGGCCTTCAGAGGAGTGTTGTAGTGTTAGTAGCAGTATGAAGAGCTGCTGTGGACATCAGTGTGACGTCTGGGGTTCTGACAGTCGCACCCTGTCCTTCCACTGTGTCTCCAGGACCTCGATGATCTGGACGCAGACCTGGACAACCTCGATCTGGAGGACATCGACACGGCAGATGTTAACCTGGACGATGACTTCTTAGACGATTAAAACACCTGCGGAAGATCTGCTCCGAGAGACCAAACGACTCTATTTCATACCTTCTAGTTTCTGCCATGGGAGTGGTAGGGGCCTGCACAGTGCTGACTCAGCTGTCTGGGCACCGTTTTGTACTATATTGGGAAAATCTGGCTTTAACAATCTGCTGCCGTGTGTCAAGCTAAATGTTGTGTGCCTGTTAGTGTGTAATGGCTTAATAAACCAGTCCTAGTCCTGAAACGTGGATTCTGACAGCTTTTCTTCACCCGCACATGTCAGATTGTAGGGTTACTGTGATTCCAGTAGTGCTTAATGCGACCTCAACAGATGCACTCTGTCATAAGAGCTTCCGTCATGGATTTGGAGCTCAAGCGGGCAAATCCTACAGTCACTGTAAGGTGTAACTTGCTGTGTGATCGGTGTTGTGGCTATGCTAAACAGCATGACATTTGATGGCCGCAGAGTTTTGAATTTTAGGAAATTACATCACTCAGGAAATGATTCCCAGACTTTTATTCATAATATTTCAGTGGTTAGCAATGAAAACTAGACAATTCATCCAATAGATACTATTATGCACACAGTTTCAATAATGTCTTATTGAATGTAGTATGAAAGTGGGACTTAGGGGGTGAGAAAACACTTTGTTGTTGGAGAAAAAAACTCTCTGCCCTCTTTTTTTATTATTATTAACAGCTCCCATTTGAATAATTAAACGTCATATTCTCCAAGCGATAGTAAGATCGTTCATTTTATGTACTGGTGTGACGACCTGGTGCTGCCGCTAGATGGCGCCAGAGTACCATCTTTAATGGCACATTCTGCCTAATGGTTGCAATTCGCCCTGCTAAATGCCAGATTAGATATGCCGTTGTATCTTGTTACTTCAAACATTATTTGAGTACGATGATAGCCCAGAATGTTAAAGTGTTTTATAATTTCTGTTAATATGCGTTAGGTTACAGGGCACAGCATAATGTTCAGTTGCTGTTTCCGATAAGTCCTGCGGCGCGAGTCGGACACCCCGAGGGAAGGACGTTTCGTGGCGCGGCGGCATCTTATCGCGGCGGCGTAATCAGGCCTTGAGACACGGCGTGAGTCACCGCGCACGGGCCGCCCTGCATCACACGGCGTTCCCGCGCCGGCTGATATGGGGATCCTGTCTGGGGGAAAGGGGAGGCCCCTGTCGGCTCGTCGCAGCTGAACCTGGGGGTTTCGAAGCGTTTGGAATGCGGCGATGAAGGACGAGGGGTACCCGGAATCAAACGCATGTTATCTATTTAGCTGCAGTAATGACCGTTAGTGAAGAAAACGGTATCTGTATGAATGCTGATTTCCTGCCAGTGCTCTATCCAGTTTTATCCCGGTTTATACGACGCCGGACACCGGCCGTGTTTAGGAAAGCCTGTTAAATCCTGCCGTTGCCTGGCAACACGTGGTCCCGCACGCCTTCTGTATCCCGACCTCAGAGGAGGGGAATTATGGGAGATTAGGCCGGCAGGTGGCTGTCTGTCAGTGTTGGGCAGAGCCGCTCGGCCTTGGGGGGGGGGGGCGACCGGCCCTCTGCCCCTCCATCCGTGCTTCTGAAGACAGGCACGGTGTGTCACATGCGGCGCTGTGAGGCCCGATTGGGCCGACGCCCTGTTTTCGTGCGGCTCTCTGTGTTTTAATTCCATCCAATCACGGGTGTCGCTTGTTTTCAGGAATCTCTGTAAACAGGCCGGCCGGCGCCGGAACCGCAATCTGGGCTGATGGGGCGGGGGGCCGCGGGGCGGACGGGAGAGAGATCGGCGTGAGGTCACTGCTCCTCACGCGAGGGCTGATCCGGTTCGTGAGTTCTGTTCTGCTGTCAGCGCTCTTCCACTGTCCCTCCGATCATTCCCTACACTGTATCCTGATGCGCACCTTCCCAGAAATGTAACTACAGGCTGCAGACTACTGCCTAAGTTGCGTGGCTACATGGCCACCAATGGCGTAGATTCTACTCAGAAGTGTAAGTCAGTCTTAGCACTCTATAGCCACGTAAACAGCCCTGCCTGTGCCATTCCTCTTACCTGCCTCTCCCTCTCTCTCTCTGGGAAAACAAGCTGTTTGCTTAGTGGTCTCAGGATTAGGTTTTTCACCTCCCAACAGCTGCGTGCATCTGGAGCTGCTGCCGCTGCCGGCACTCCATCCTCACCTCATTAGCCGTGATAAGCACCTCACCAAATTCCACACCTGATTGGTCTGATGCCGCTGCCATGTGAGGGTGGAGCCTCTGTGCATGTTGGCAGGGGTGGGGGGGGTTCCGCCTTGTTTTCCAAACCGCTTTCGTTTGTGTGCTGAAATCTCCCACTATTTATAAACAAGTACGCTGGCCTGTTCCCTCCAATCCTGAACGCTTCGCACTTCACGTGCCTGTAACTCAGATGGGACGACTCTCCTGAGTGAAGAGAGTGTTTCTGTCTATGAAGGTGGCATCCTGGGACATGCTTATTCACCCCACTAATGAGATGATCAGATCCTCACACATCTGTCACATTCTGTCAAAATCATTTACTGTTTAAAATCAACCTGGCAGAACTATGTGCAGCCTCCACCAATCCCCCCCCCCCCGAGTTGGGCCGGTAACGGGGGGCATGGAAATCCGAGCCCAGCACGCACACGCTAAGGCCACGCGGTGCCATGGCAGTGCTTATTTACTTAGGTGCGTGTGCATGGTGAACATGAGAGAGTGGGTTCAAGGAGAGGTGAAGACGGGGGGGCACTGCCTCAAGGACCACGCTTTTCTCTTCCCCCCCGTTCTTTTCTTCCTCCTCTCGGAGTAGTGTGGACTGGGAGGGGCCGGCAGGGCACGGTGACATAGCAGCAGAGTCTCCCCGCCAGCTGGGGGGGGCGGGGGGGGCAGATACAGCCTTGTCTCCCACCGGCGGTGAGATTAAAGAGTGAGAGAAGTGCCACCGGCCGGTAAAGTGGGGGGGGGACGGAGATGGAGGAGGAGGTGGAGGTTGTGGTGCTCTGCCTGGGTCAAGGCGTTCACCGCTGCCCCCCCCCCCCCCCCCTGTAACCCAAGCCTCCTGCTTCACCTTTTCTTCCTGCACCAAACACAGCCACATCTGTTCATGTTCACTGGATTCCAAGCCCAGATCCTCACGCACACGCTCCGCTGCGAGCGATAACGACATCACCTTCGAACTTGGCCCTGCAGCGAGGCCGCCATGGCCGCTCACCCCATAACGCCACCCGGGGGCGGGG